CACACACACACACACACACACACACACACAGCTGTTTGATTGGCTAGATCTTGCACTGGCATATGATTTGATTGGCTGACGCTTCCGTCGAAGTTTCCAAAGTTGAACATTGCTCAACTTTTGAAGCGAGCAACGCGAGCAAAGCGAAGCAACGCTCCCACAATGCAGTTCGCCAAAGTGTGACGTCACCCCATTCAAAGTGAATGGGCAGAAGCGTTGACGCTTCAACGCACGCCGCCGTGTGGACGGGGCGTAAGGAGGTTTAATATGTACGAGTGTGTATGAGTTTGGGAATGAGGGAATGGGAGAGAAGGAGAGAGAGAGAAAGAGAGAGAAAGAAAGATATGAGGCGAAAACTGCGACTTGCTGTAAACCAAATCTACTGTATATTGTTGTGTCTGTACACACACACTGTACATCCAGACACACACACACACACACACACACACACACACACACACACACACACTGTACATCCAGACACACACACACATTTCTCAGCTGATACCACTCTTCCACATCCATATCAACACACCTACATCATATGAGTTGCATATGTATTCCAATGGCTGGCAGGGCCAACATTTATTATATGGAAAATAACTGCCTTTTTGTTCATGTTTTTCATAGAAAACGTGAATTCATGTATTCAAACTGGCAGTTAAAGGGTTAAAATCCTGAAAATAATTTAATATTTGGTATTTTTGATTAGGGCTGAAGTTGCTTTAAGATTGAACCCAAATAATTGGTGAAAAAAATATTTTAATATAATGTTTTTATCAAAGTCTTTTGCAGTGGACATTTTTGTCTCAAATGGTCAATAAGCGTGGTCGATTTGTTACACAGTGAATTAAAGACCGATTTGAAAAATGTAAATTAGAATTCCAAAATAGATCGAGAAAATAGCCTTATCACAAAAAATCAGTTCATTTGCACCAACACAACTAAAGTTATATGAAACTTGAAAAATGACCCATATGGACAAAAACGTCCACAGTGATACCGGAGGTTAAGTGAAGTGACTGTTACGTTGTATTGATTGTTGTGCTTTTATGTATGTCTTAATGTGTGCACATGTCTTCAGACTGGGCAACCAATTCTTGACCTTTAGCAACCATTTTCTAACTTGTAAAAATGTGAAAGGGCAACATATGCATCCCAAAATAACTGAAATCTTCCTCTTGTTGCATTAGTGCTATTTTAAAGCTGCACAACTTACTTTGGAACATTAACTCACACGTGCACAGAGACAACAGGGAAGTAAATCAAGTTGTTTGACCGATTCCTGACCTTTTGCAACCATTTTCTAACGTATACAAATGTGTAACGGCAACACATGCATCCCAAAATAACTACATTTTTCATCCCTATATTTGAAAGTTGCACAACTTACACTTGAAGCATTAACTTAATAAGTTGTTTGACTGGGTTTTTATTCCGTTACGACTAAATTATAACCGTCTGTGACTATAAACGACCTCCATATGTTCCGTTTTCACCCCTTCCTCTAAAGCTAGCAGTATCATTTCACCGTGTTGCGTAATATCTGAACTAATCGAACTCTTTGTCATCAGACTATTTAAGATTCCTGCGTCTCACGCCTGGATTAATCAGCTCTCCATCCCTCCAGCTGTGACGTGTGTCTACGTGCAGCAGAAGTGAATCAGCGCTGATGCACGACACCTGAATGCAACGCAGGTCAGACAGGAAGCCTCAGAAAGGATCCATCGTTAACAGTTCCTTATGAAGAGGAAGAGCAGTCAGTGTGTGCCAGGTCTGGAGTGTGTGTCTGTGTGCAGCTTTACAGTGCAGACAGAGGGGGGAGGGGGAACGCATATAAAGCATAATGTGATCAAAGAATGACAGAGAATTATCTTGATTTTTCACATTTAAAACAATAGAATTTCAACAGAAATATAGATGTTTATATTTTTTGCAAACACTTATTTTTACATCTTTTATTTTATTTATATATTTTTAAATAACTGTATATTTGCTATTTTTTTCTGTAAAAAAACATCTTAATTTGTGTTTTTGTTTTCATCATTATACCCCAAAGCAAATGCCTTTTATGTTTGAACATATTTGGAGATAAACCGGTATCCTGTGCGTTTCAGTGGAAGCAGATTCATTTTAAGAAATAGGAGAGGCATAGAGGGCAAAAACACATCATGCATTATGTATAAAACAATAAAGATACCAAAGGAAGTTAGGAGTAATGTAATAAACTAATAACAGAAGCAGTGAGGGGAGTTAGAGATGAGGACTAGATGTGTCTCAGAGAGGCAGTGAGGGAGAGGAGAGAGGCAGAAAATAACTCCCTTTTTTGAGTATTTCCTGAAATGCAGGGACCCCCTCTCATGCTGTGATGGTGCATCAGGTGAGGCACCTTTGGGCCCTCATTTGTTATCTTTATGACAGACGCGCGCACACGCTCACGCACGCTCCCATATGACTCATCTTCAAGTGTGAGCGCGCAGCCTCAGCCTCGGTATATAAACGTCCTGCTCCTGATCGTTATAACTTTAGGCTGTTTCTGCAGAGAAGAGAAGGAGGGCGGCATCTCGCCAACACCTGCGACCCAAGAGGCTTACTGGACCCCAAGAAAGACTAAGGTACGCAGACAATCCTTTATGTCATGCTTTCAGACGCATTTCCTTGTTTTCTAGCCAGGGTTTCACTAAGTGGATTCTATACTTGGTAATTGCAGCATGGAATAAACTGTGTCCGACAGATCTGTCTTTACGCGCAGATGTTCCACGTCTTTATACAACTTCTGTTACGATAACATAACACTTTATCCATCCTCACCACAGCGTGCCATCACTGTCTTTTCCTGCGTACATTTTAGTTTCTGTAACCAAGTGGTCTTCGTTTTATTTCATGCATCAAGTCACATTTTCATCCTTTCTAGCCGGGGTTTAACTTTTATTCTTGGTAAATGCAGCATGGAATAAACTGTGTCCAATATTGAGACCAAAATCTGTCTTTACGCGCGGATATTCCACGTCTTTGTTTAACTTCTGTTACGATAAAATAACACTTTATCCATCGTTACCACACCGTGCCGTTACTGTATCCAATATTGAGCAACATATCTGTGTTTACGCGCAGATTTTCCACATTGTACTCCATCTCTATATATCTGTTCTGCACATTTTAAGATAGTTGCAACACTTTAATCCATAGTTGCCTCACGGTGTCTTTTTGGTGCGTACATGTAAGGCTCCAAGTGGATTCGCTCTTGGTGTCTGCTCTGTATTCTCAAACTTGTATTTGCAGCATGGATTTATATTTAAATGTGTCCATTACTGAGCCAAACACTTTTAACACGCAACTATCCAACATTTCAGGAGATGTTATTCACAACATAAATGTTTTTTTTCGTGCGTAAACTAAGATAAGATAAGATAGGACTTTATTTATCCCGAAGGAAATTGTTGTGCCAGAGTTACAACAATACAATAAACACATTAAACTCCTCAGCACATTTCATCCGAGAGTTTTGATTTAAAATACTAACGTGTGTGTTTCCCTCCGCAGATTCCTGTTGATATCCTGACATGAAGCTCAATTCATTTGGCACCACCGTGATTCTGCTAGTTGCCTTCTTACCGCGCTACGAATGTCGGGCCATTGAGAGTCCTGGCGGTGCCCAGCAGCAGCAGCCCGGTCCCGTAGTGGAGCGGCTCGGGGAGGAGTATTTCATCCGGCTGGGGAACACCGGGGACTCTTCTAACTCTTTCCCAGCCATGATGCTCCCCTCCGGGCTGAACAGAGCGCTGCAGCTGACGCGGCGCCTCCTTCAGGGGAAAGTTGGGAACATCAGGGCGATCCTTGGAGACGATGAGGAGTCCATGGAGAGAGGAAGGAGGTCCGAAGACCCTCCGATCTCTCTGGACCTGACCTTCCACCTGCTGAGGGAGATGATGGAGATGTCCAAGGCGGAGCAAATGGCGCAGCAGGCGCAAAACAACAGAAGAATGATGGAGCTGTTCGGGAAGTGAAGCGCCAAAGATCTCCTCCTCCTCCTCTTCCTCCTCTTCCTCTTCCTGTCGCATCTCCACCATGAGCGCTGCTGTGTCACTCTTATTTAAAGCTTCAACCTCAAACTGCGGAGTTAATGTCGATCACTTATTCTTCATGACAAATACACTCTTTGTTTTGGATTCTGAACCATGTATTTACGAGATTTATGTTTGTTAATAAACTTATGTGCAACCAGTCATTTTCTGTTGTGCAAGACAACGTCTTATATCTATATTTTAAATAAAAAAATTAAAAGCAATGCTTACACTTCTCTGTGGAAATCCTTACATATAAAACCCAGCTGCTAATTATATTAACAAACATGTTCATTTCCAATCTTACATTTTCAGGAAAGTGAAACACAAAAAAATCACCTACACTGATATCGATTCAGAAACTGAATATAAACAACATGGTGTAACATTAATGTGGAGCCAAGTCGCACACACACACACACACACACACACACACACACACACACACACACACACACACACACACACACACACACACACACACACACACACACACACAGGGTCTTCCTTCCCTAAACGAAATCCCAAATGTGCACCAGGTGGATAATAGTCTGTTGAAATCTGGCTCTACATCTGAACATAAAACAGGTTTTTAATTCTGCTTTATTCCAGTTTAACGAAAGGATTTGAGAAAGCAGACACTGTTTGCAGCTTTAATGAAACATAATATTCAATACATGGCATAACGTGGTGTTTTGTTCCAACATGGGAACAGATACCTGTGCAACAGAGACTACAGGCGGCATGAAATGGTGAAAATGTCACAGTGATAAAGTTTTATCAGTCATAAAAAAGAATACGAGCGGGAGGGAAAGCTAATGGAGCAGAGAAAGGTCAGAGAAAGAACCAGGACATGTGGGGGAAAGCAGAAACACTGATCCTTTGGTCACCGAAACACAGTCTCTTCCTCAGAAACACCTGAGAAACACCTGGAGAAACACCTGGAGAAACACCTGGAGAGCCTCTGATGTTTGGTGTTTTTCAGGTAGAGGTGGAGGCTGATTGAGACGTGACAGGAGCCTCCCCCTCTCCATCTTCATCTTCATCATCTTCATCCTCGTCTCCATCTTCTGAGGAGAGAGCAGCACAGGTGAGAAAGCAGCGACTGCCTTTGTTTTTTACTTCTTAAATATGTTTTATTGAAGGAATCTGTAGATCTAATAGAAATACATACAGTATGTGCAAAAATATATATAAATGTAATAAATTGAAATATAAATTCACAACAAAAATATATATAAATAAAACAACATGTATAGCCTCAATGTCCTGAAATAGCTGAACAAGTTAATAGTTGAATGGTTTATCTGAAAGTAGGCTGAAGGAGTTACATATGAAATGTAAGTATTAGTGAATGAATGTTTACAAACACCTGTGTGTAAGCCCAGAGATCAAAGGTTACCATGGTGACGTTATCAAAAGACCTGTTTACGTGAGCCCAGAGATCAAAGGTTTCCATGGAGATGTGCTGTGAAAGGGGAGCCTTCATTTGATCTGAAGGAGAATTTTTGACAAGTTTTTGTCTCTTCATGCCCTCAAGAGGCATTTTGTTTAATATTTTTTCTTAATTCTTTTTTATTTTCCAACCTAGGAGAGGTTTTCCTACGTTTTTCATGAAAAAATATGTCTGAGGAGTGTCAGGTTTGGGAATTATGGCAAGTTTAAAAGTCTTTTTGGGCGAATTTCAAGCTCTGCTAAACTCTGTTTTGAGATCAAAGCACTCTAGACTTAACGAGCTGCTCCATCCACTCTAATGTTAAAATCTGAAGAAAGCCTCTCTGCCAAGCTCCAAACTAAGTTCAATATCTCAAAGAGTTTAAAAGATATGAAAAATCTGAAGAACAAGTTTAATAGCTGAAGGTCTTTTGATCATTTTAAAGTTGGAATGAAGTGTCTAGCTGAAAGTATGTGGAAGGAGAAGCATTTGGCGCAAGGTGTAGGAAAAGAGGATTTGAAGGCTCCTCCCCTCGACTTCCATGTTAAAA